TTAAAGTGTATAAGTGTTTATGTTGTAGATTAAGGATTTCGTTTATACAATCGGAAAAGTGTCTATAATTTGGGTACCATAGCATTTTTTGAATTCATAATCAATTCAAAACACTTAACAAGGTTTATACAAGTCTTATTCAATCCGTAAATCGCTGTTTTCGGTTCCGAAACCATGTTTCCTCAGAATTTCCTCGGAAATTTCCGAGGAATTTCCGACGAATCCTAGCGTTCCTCGGAATTTCCTCAGAAATTTCCGAGGAAATTCCGTGGAATACCTGTTTTCCTCGGAATTTCCTCGGAAATTTCTGAGCAAAATTCCGAGGAAATGAAACCCTGATATCAAATCCCTAACATTCGATTATTACATTGACTTTTTCCGAGGAAATTCCGAGGAAAATCAACACTTCCTCAGAATTTCCTCGGAATTTTTATATTTAAAAAAAAAAAAAAAATCATATGCTACTCTGTTTCCGAGTCATCATCATCTCCAGATGAATCTGAATCTGGATCTTGGTGAAACTCTCCAATCTCTGGTTCATCCTCCATGTGAACGACGGCTTCCTCTCCGTAGTCGGTAAAATCGACAACAAGATCAACATCAGTTACATCTCCTTCTGCACTTAAGTTCCCGGATGTGCTTGGTTGTAGTGGGTCTTGCAGCTCAGAACTTCCCTGAACTCGTCCTCTCGGGTTGAGTGAGGTAACAGTGACCCATGGATCATCTCTGTTCCTAACCCGGGGGTACCTAATTAGCAAACCTGTAACATTTTGAAAATATTTGTAAATTTGTCAATTAATGATAACTGATGATGAAGCAATGTGAATAATCCGACGGCAACGGCTAGTTCCTCGGAATTTCCTCGGAATTTAGTCAAATCCCCCAACGACTATCTAACGGATATAATATATCCTCGGATTATCGTCGGCTTTTTCCGAGGAACACATGTTCTACGGAATTTCGTCGGAAATTTCCGACGGAACAGACGTTCCTCGGAATTTCCTCGGAATATTCCGAGGAAATTCCGAGGAAACCCAAAATTTTTGGTTCCTCAGAATTGCCACGGAATATTCCGAGGAACTCATTTTCCCTCGGAATTTCCCTCAGTATATCGATGTTTTCTTGTAGTGACTTATCTATATATAGCTGTTTTGTTTCCATAATATTCTTTAATAACTTATCTATATTGCTTTCCTAAAACTTTAAAACAAAACGGATTAGGACATCAAACATTTGATAGTTTATTTTTTTTATCACACATCACAGAAGCTCAAAACTCGAATTCAATAGCTAGCATTGTTTTATTAAGGTATTACCGAAATCATTTCTACTAAACCATATATTATCTTCTTTATTAATTTAGATATTTTATTCAAGCTCGCAGTCAAACACATATTTCACGTTTTGCTTTTTCTACACTTTCACCTTCACGGCTTCACATACATGATTCATACAGTACAAAAATCTTTGAGTTATTAGGAAGCATGTGATTGATTTTTTAAATTCGAAGAATGCGTTTAGTGCATTTAAAAAAAAAAAAGGAAAAAGAATGCGATTAGTGTTTGAGTGGTGAATATATGATATTGTATATGATTTTGGATAAGGAAAAAATAGATAAATATAAAAAGATAAATTTTGCCCATACGAAAGTCAAGGTGGGCTGTCATGTCTCCAAAACAGATCCATGGATATGCCAACTCATACATATATGAACTAAGACGAATCAAACTTTTTACCAAAAGCAAAACAACAAACATAGTTGCATGACCATATCATTTCTAATCTTTATAGCCTGAGCTGTTATATGATTATCCAAAAACGCTGTTCAATTGACTTACTTTTTCAAATATAATAGCCAAAAATAAGCATCGTCACAAAAATTTAAAGAAAAATAACAGCCACAATATATATAAAACATGATAATCTATTCAAAATTTCATTATTAAAACTGGCTCAATATTATTGTCATATATCCAATGAACTTTTTTCGAGGATTCCACTCTCTTCTCTCATTCATTTTCTAAATCCAGGCTCTGTTAATCTCTTTTTACTAATACGACTAGCAGAACTTGTATGTAAACATCATCATATGAACATTGTAACATGAAACAACTAAACCCATATACTATCTCGATACGTGAGGATTATCATACTTTTTAAATAAAGTGCACGAAACCATGTCATAATAACGCCGACGTGCACGAAACTAAGCAAAAAACGTGTAGAGGATTACACGTGCCAGCTTATATTTCTAATCCTTGTTTTTCAATTAAAAATAAACGAAAAAACCGTTGCAACGGTCAAAAAGCAAGGGTGGCAAAAGACCTACATAAAACCTAAAATAGAGACAAAGCTAAGGTTTGGTTTGTGTAAGAGAAAAAAGAAAAGGAGGAAGAGGCGTAACGTACGTACGAGGAGGAGGAGGCTGATGATGAAGCTATGGAAACGAGCTTCCGGTGCTCTCAAAGACCGGAAAAGCTTGTTCTCCATCAGCTTCTCCCGGAGAACCTCCTTCCGTAACCCTGACCTTGACTCCGCCATCATCCACGCTACCTCTCACGACGACTCATCCGTCGACTACCACAACGCTCACCGTGTCTACAAATGGATCCGCTCCTCTCCAGCAAACCTCAAGCCTCTTGTCCACTCCCTTTCCTCGCGTGTTAACCGGACAAGAAGCTGGATCGTTGCCTTGAAAGCCCTGATGCTCGTCCACGGTGTCCTCTGCTGCAAAGTCCCTTCCCTTCAAGAGATTCGTCGTCTCCCTTTCGACCTCTCTGACTTCTCGGACGGTCACTCACGTCCCAGCAAGACTTGGGGCTTCAACGCTTTGATACGAGCCTACTTCTCGTTTCTTGACCAGTACTCTTTCTTTTTATCCGACCAGATACGTTGTCGGAATAGGAAACCTCAGGTAGATTCTGTTAACCAAGAGCTCGAGAGCATCGAGAAGCTTCAGTCTCTTCTCCACACGCTTCTACAGATACGTCCAATGGCTGATAACATGAAGAAGACGCTTATTCTTGAAGCCATGGACTGTGTAGTGATCGAGATCTTCGACATTTATGGTAGAATCTGCAGCGGTATAGCCAAGCTTTTGATTAAGATCAGTCCATCTGCTGGAAAAGCAGAAGCTGTGTTGGCTCTTAAGATTATAAAGAAGGCTACATCTCAAGGAGAAGACCTAGCTCTCTACTTTGAGTTCTGTAAAGAGTTTGGGGTCTCAAATGCTCATGAAGTCCCAAAGTTTGTCAAAATCCCGCAAGAAAACATTGAAGCAATGGAGAAAGCCATTAAAGGAGTGGAAGAGAAAGAGGAGACAATGGAGGATGAAGAGGAGGCAGTGGTAGTGGAAGAAAAGAGTATCATATTAGCTGATGAGAGGCCAGAGTTTCAGACCATCATAACCGATAAATGGGAGGTTTTTGAAGACGATTATTGTTTCACATGTAAAGATGTTAAAGAAAATGATCAACATAGAGACTATAACGTGGATCCTAGTCCGCTGCCTCTTATAGTTATTGATGAGCCAGTTTACTTGACTCACACGTTACCTGATTTGATTACCTTCTAAATGCATCTTGATCAGGTTCATTTTTTTTTTTAATTACTTTGTTCTCTTCTGTATTTTTCTTCCTTTTTGTTGAATATGCGGATGATAATAAACGTTAGATATTATCTCAAAAAAATATTCAGTAATAAAAAGTTTTCAAGATTGAGCTTATGTAGACTTATTAGTTTGTGACAGTCTTAAAGCCGATCAAATTTATTTGGACATACTTTATGTAAAATGTACCTAACTCACAGCAGATGTAAGCAAATATGTTATGAACAAGTAGTAGATGAGATTGCCATTGCTGTAGTGCTAGGATTAAGATAGATGTTGTTTCACTCAAGAATAGGGAACTCTCAAAGATAATTTGATATTCTACAAACACTACAAGCAACAAAACTTTGACATAGAAGACCCAAAGTGCAAAGCCAAAACCACAGAGAGCAAGTATAAACTTAAAAGAGTTGATCAAAAACTTAAGAGGTTTCAACGTCTGAGAGATCCAAACCTTCTCGGTAAAGCTCAAAGTCACTAGGGCTCCATCTGCAGACTAAGTTGAGTTTGAAAGTAGCCAACTTGATTCCCAACAAACGCTGCAATTTATTATATAAACATGTATATGAGCAAACTTCATGGAAACAAACCAAAAGAAAATGCTTTTAAAATACAGATTCGTATTTTACCAAAATGCGGGAAGATTCTGGTGAAAGAGGCTTTCCTTCTTCACAAACTACATAGTCAGATAGTAACTCCACCGTACCTACATAACAAAAAGATAACTTTCTTTTGATCAAGATTTCTTTCTAACTTAGTGTATAAGAGATATGAAGAGAGGGAAGATTAAAAACCTTTGTTGAGTCGAACAGGCATACCCTGCTTCCTTAGAAACGGTTCCATCTCATGTGTGAACTGTTCTAGAGGACCTTCCTTCAGTTCAATCTGATCATTTAAATGAAACCAAAACAGAGTTTATCAGTTCTTGAAATAACCAAGAGATGCAGAGTTTGATTTGATCACGACAACAAATATAAAAGCTGGTGCCAGTTCTAATCACAAACCGTTTCTACTGCAGTGCTTCCAGTCCTTGAAAAGTCAGAATCCTCATAAGCATTAAATAACCTCTCCACCTCTTCCTTTGGCATATCCGTAACAAGAAGTCCAGCATCACCATGAAGCAACTGAAAATACATTAAACAACATAAATCACAATAACAAAAGGTCAAGTATATAAACAAGTATTGTAAGAAGCAGAGTACACAAACCTTGGAGACTTTAAAAATGCCAGGACGGATTTCATCAGAAGCCGAACGACCAAGAGCAACCTGCATTACTTTGTTGGAGCCGAGGAAGAACCTGAAACCAATAAGAAGAAACCAAAATGATATCATTAAATAATACTTATCTCAATTACATCTATTCATGACTACAAAAAAAGAAGGAAAAAAACTGACCTTCCATTGGTCCTAAACTGTTTTCTGAACTCCTTGAATTTAATGTTTCTCATGTTTTCAAACGAGAAAACATATACAGATGAATATTTTTCGACTAACTCTCTGATTCCATTTACAATACTCTCCTTGTGCTCCCTTCCTTTCTTCTTTGTCTTTGACAAAGTAACTGCATCAAACAACAACAACAACACAACTTATAAATCTTGATTTAGGTTCTCTTTCCTCTAAAAACCTTAGAAACCCTAAACCCTTGACGGCGGCTACACAACTCACACCTCCCCAGATCACTATCGTTTTCAGACATTACAACCATGAAAGAGTTAAGGAAGAAAGAGGTCTGACCTGGTCTGTCTCGCTTTGATTTAGGCATGTCTTCTAGAGTTTCAGATGGGAACAACCAAAGTAAACAGCTTTGCTTTCACCTTTTCAGACAGAACAAAAACCCTCTCTCATGTCCTCTGTTTTGATTCGGTTTGTGCCTCGGAACCATAACCGGATACGCCCAGGATCCGGCCCATTTTCATAAATATGGGCCATTATTGCCTTCGAGGGGTGGACATAGGCTTTTGAATTTTGTATTTCCCCAAACTTTATATTTATTGTATCCTTCTGAATGAACATGGAAGCTCTTGAAGACCACTGTGTTGTCTGTATTTTATTCTCCAACTATTTACAGTCATCATATTTAACACCCAAATAGTACTTTGTGTAAAATTGTTCCAGAACTAATTGTCAACTGCACAAAATTGGAATAGAAAATAGTCTACCATTAGAATCGACTGAAATATTCAGTTTTTTGTTGAACGGTTGGCTATTTCAATCTCAATTTTATATAGTCAACAACTAGTTTAGGGAAAGAATTTAGGCAAACAATACTTACATATTAATCAGGCTGATTGCACTAGTTAAGGAGTAAAATAAAGACAAGACAGTTTGGTCTTCAAGACCTTAGCTAGTTAATTCATAAGAATACAGAAGTGAAATATATAAACAACTTAAAATTCTATATATCCAAGATCATCTAGGAAATAGTTCCTCCTACGCATCCTGACAACTTCCTCGTCTGAATCTGAGCCATATGCACCAGGGATTGTGCTCAGCATTCTCAGCTCATGATTCTGAGCCATATGCACCAGGGATTGAGCCATATGCACCAGGAATTTTAGTATCACGTAAAATTTTAATATATATATATATATATATATATATATATATATATATATATATATATGAGTTTGATTTGTTTTAACATCAACATTATATATATATATATATATTAAAAATTTAAAACACCAAAATATAATAAAATCATCTAGAGATTTATTATTACATTTTTATTAGATAAGATATTAAGATAGAATTTTTATTCTGTTTTCTTGTTTTTACATTTATAACTTTTTAATAATTTGTATTACTGGTAAATCTTAAGATAGTTTTTGTTATATTTTCTGGGTTTTTATATTTTAAATTTATACATATATAATGTTGATTTTAAAAGGATACCAAATCAGACTCATATATTTATAAAAAATCTATTAAAATGCTAACTCTGAAAATTAAAATTACGAATTTATAGATAATATTATCATATTTTAAATTTTTTGATTTTTTTAATTTTTAGTTATTAAACTCCTAAATTAAAGTTTTTCTGGTAGTACTAGTAATTATGACCGACGATAATTTAATTCATTAAAATTAGTTTAGAAATTTTTTGTTAAATACTTAGTTTAGGGGTTTTTACCCGAAATAAATTTAGTTGAAAGGTTTTAGTGTTAAAAATCCTAATAACTAATACACGTATATTAAACACTACACAACAAGATACTGAAACGGTTTAAACATAGTAGATAAAATAATCACCGAGCTTGTTTTGACCGCTCATAGTATTAAATTAACTTTTATCTATACATAAATCGTTCTTTGTTGACAACGTATTTGAAATGAAGTTTAAAACGAGTTTTAGTATCACGTAAGGCAATTTGAAAGACTTGTCAGTCAATGTTACAGAAGAAACCAAATATGGTACTTCATGATAATGCTAATTATTCTTGCGGTCTTTTAAATATAGATATTGGTGTCGCAGAATCAAAATTAGTTAAAAGCTCTCTATTTGTCCGTGTGTATATAGGTATTGACGTATGACGTTGACCGGCTGTCCAATTAAAGTATTCTTTGGGAGTCATTGAATTACACTTCTGCAAATATTTTGGCTGAAGAGGCTTTCTCCAAATTGCGTTGTTTTGTTACCAGTTAGATAAAATTATATTTTTCGATGTTTACATAAAATAAAATATACACACAATATACTCTAGATTCTACTAGAGTAGCTTTATTTTTTTGTTTTTCTTTTTTCCCACTTTTTTATTTACTCTCATTTCTACTTTTATATTTTCCATTTACTCCAAATATTATCAATCACATGTTTTATAAAATTGGTTATTCTATTTTAAACTACGCTAAAAAAAATCAATGGGTTATAAAGTCCTGCATATATATATATATATATATATAAACCGAACGTTTACCAACTGAGGTACAAAAAACTAATTTTCATCCCATTTCCTGTTTGCCACAAAACTAAAATCATAAATTATGCGCAGACAATTGGTTATCTCAGTATTTTCAGGATATCTCTAGTGGTTACATTATTATCTAAAAGAAAATGAATATATGTTTATTCTATTTGTTATTCTCTAAGAAAATAAACCTTAAAATAAACCTTCAATCTTTATTTTTCTTTCAAAAACAATTCTAAATCTACTCATATTAGAATGTATTATTAAATCTTAATAATAATTTATGTACAAACTTACAAATTTTATCTAAATATTTTGACTAAATATTTATTAAATAATAAGTTTAGATTTTAACAAAATATAATGGTATTTATTAACTTATGATTGTGTGAATAGAGATATTAATAAGTTTTAGAAAATATTAAACACAAGAATTTAACTTTTACAGAAAATAAGATTATACAAAACTTGAAGGATAATTTGTAAATAAAAATTCAGCATCAAAATAAGGATAAGTTTTTGAATGTATTCATTCTAATTTGATGCACTATTGTTTTTACTCGAGTTTAATTTCTTTCAAAGTGATAAACTATTGGAGAAGTTTTTTTCATATCAAATATTTTCCCTCAAAATGAAAGATCATTAGCTAGAGATGATTCTAGAAATGCATTTTAACTATCTCAGCCCTAATTCCTATTTATTATATTTGTTAAATATAAAACTCAATTTAAAGACAAAAGAAAAATCACTTAAAATAGAATTAGCAATTGATGTTGTAGACAATATCTCAACAAGTCAAAATTGTCTTTTGAGATACTCTTTCTCTTTTTCGCACTTGTTCTTTTCTGTATTTATTTATACTATTGGTAAGATGATTAAGAAATAAGACTGAGTTGGTCTTATATACACCAACACGTGTATATATGGATTATGGATCCGCTCAGCCACATGCACTTAGATATTCATTTCCCAAAATCAAACAAGTAATACTCTGTAGAAATGTCTCTGTCAAATGGGATGACGCCGGTTCTAATGATGTTGGTGGTACAAGTGGCTCAAGCTGGAGTCCACATCTTCTTCAAGTTGGCCATAAGCAGTGGCGTGAGCGTACCTGTCGTCCTAGCTTACCGTTTCCTCCTCTCCACCGCGGCTATGGTTCCTCTGGCTTTCTTCTTCAACCGGCAAGTTCTCCCTTAAACTCCATATTCCTAGAATCTCAGAAAATATATATACGAATTCCAAAATTAAACTGTAAGTGAAACATTTTATAAAAAAGACCTATAATTAAAACTAGTTGTACATATATATCTATGATTTTCAGTCTCTTTAGTAAACCTGCTAGCCGATTTCCCCCTTTCTTCTACTGGAGTTTCCTTAAGTACAGAACGCTTGTAATGTTCATCAAGTTATGTTATATGAATCGGGTGCTAATTTTGCACTTCAGGAATAAATACCAAAAAAAAAACTGTTCTTTTTTTTTTGTTTACAGGGGAAAAAGACTGAAAATGACATGGAAAATTATCTTCCAAGGCTTCATCTGTGGCTTATTCGGGTAAACAATTTTGAGATGTTCCATCTTTCAACTATTTAAATAGAGAAGTATAGAAAGAGATTAACGATAAGTTAATCTAGTGACTTAAACTCCTGGCTTTCCTAGTAAAGGTATAAGAAATTATAAGTTTGATTTCCTTAATATATGTATGTCGAACTACAGTGCTTATTTTTTTGTTGACGGGAAGATACTTGCCTTAACCTTCTGCAGCATACAAATGATATAGTCTTACCAATTTTTGTCCAAGTCCAATAATAGATATTCTTACATAAGTGCAGCGTATTATTTATTTATTTTTTTGGAATATTCGTATTTTTGTATCGTTGAAATAGAGATATATACAAAATGGTACAAGAGGAGAGACTAAACAACGAACAGCGTTTAAATTGTAGGGTGACATCGAATCTCCATTATTGTTATCATTATTTATTATTTTCTCAACGATGTCGTCTAACATAATAGATTATATAGTTTTAAGCTTTTGATATATAAATTCTGATAATATTACTGTGTTGACATTATTTATATACTTTTATTCAAAATAAACTACATATTGCAGGGGATCATTAGGGCAGAATTTATATTTCAAAAGTATGGCTTTAACGTCGGCTACATTCATGAGTGCAGTGGCTAATCTTGTACCCGCTATAACCTTTATCGTTGGCTTTTCAGTTGGGTAATATACTACACATATCAAAAGCAATACGTCTGTGTGTTAAAGTATGTAACATATGTTCATGTATCAAAGGTTGGAGAGATTAGAGTTTGGAACAGCTGTAGGGAAAGCAAAAGTATTCGGGACATTAATGGGAATTGGTGGCGCGATGCTGTTCAGCTTTTACAAAGGCTTTCCTATTCAGTTCTTGAAGTCCGAAATTAACCTTCTTCCTGGTACTAGCACCCGCCACGTGGCTTTTCTGGCTTCTGATCACCGTGTGTTGGGAGCCTGTTTGGCCCTTACTAGCTGCTTCTCTTATTCTATATGGATCATTTTACAGGTGAGTAACATATGCACCTCTGTTAGGGTTTTGTGTTTCTCTGAACGATCTCAGTTCAAGATTCGTGGTTATTTAAAAAACATATACACACATCCAGTGACGAAAGATATATATATATATGTGTGTGAGTTGTTTTTCGTATACAATTTTTTTCATTACAGACAAAGATGAGTGAAACATTTCCATGCCCGTACGCAAGTACCGGGTTGATGAGCTTAATGGCCTTCTTCCAATCGACTATCTATGCATTGTGTGTGGAGAGGGATTGGTCACAATGGAAGCTCGGGTGGGACATTAGGTTATGGACCGTTGCATATTCGGTATATATCCACTTTTATTATGTGACATTCTTTTGGGATAATTGTATATGTGATCAAACTTCTTTATATTTATTTTCACCAAATGAATGTTTGGAACTAAAACTATTAGGGAACAGTGGGAACAGCATTAGTAGTGACATTAATTACAATTAGTTCGAGGCTAAGGGGTCCACTCTTTGTAGCCATCTTCAACCCCCTCTTGCTCGTGATTGTCGCCTTGGCTGGTGTTTTTTTCTTGGACGAAAAGCTTTACTTAGGAAGGTAAAATGCAATAGTTTTGAGGATTTATATATATCTATATATATACTAATATTTCTTTTTCCAAAATTTTAGTGTACTGGGGGCAATATTGATTGTATGTGGTCTATATGTTGTGTTATGGGGAAAGCATAATGAGATGAAGAAGAGGATAAATGAAGTTGTTCCATCTAACGAAAACGAAGCACAAAAATCAGTTGAGATTATCGTTGTCAATGGTAGCAACGGGAGCTCTTCTGTAGAAATGAAATGACGGAAAATGGTACTATAAGTGAAAGAAAGGACGGTGTATCATGCGTCGACAGAGAAGAACATACGCTGGCAGATCCAAGATGATATTAAAAAAAAAAAAGATGATATTTTACTGGGATCAATATATCAAAATAAATTATAAATTATAAAAAATGAGAAAATAGTAAAAAGTTATATGCATGCTAATGTTCAAATTCATAGTATTCCGAATATTCATATTTCTCATCTAAGAACAATAAACAAAATCTTAAGTTTAATAGCATATATAAAAATTAAAAACTTACATATTGAGAAAAAGAGCTAAAAGTAACTAAATGTATACTCCCCCCGTTTCAATTTAGTTATCGTTGTAGACTAAAATTTTTGTTTTAAAATAAATGTCGTTTTATAATTTCAATACAAAATTTATTGACCTTATCTACTATTATATTTTTCTATTAGTTGAAACATGGTTAGATGTATAGGTAATTGTGTTTTTTTCTAAAAAATATGCAAAATTAAAAGTTTTCTTAATTTGTGTTTAAGAACTTAAAACAACAAGTAAATTGGTATGAATGAAGTATTTGATTAAACTTTTTGTAAGTCTGGTTTCTCTTTACTTAAAGTATAAAATAATGAATTTTTTTTTGTAGAGACAAGTAATAATAAATAAAAACGGAGTCAAGTATAACTCTTTCAGTATAAGTGGTGTTTAAAATTTTTGTACATAAAATAAAAAGTAAAAAAATTGTAAAATTTATTTTGATTATATAAGATATTATTAAATATAATTAGTTTAACTAATAAAAATTATATAATAACTAAACCTTTAATTGATTAAACTTTGTGTAAGTTATTTGATTTCTCTTTCTTTAAAGTATAAAATAACAAAATTTTATTTTAGAGACAATTATTAGCAAAAAATGAAAACGGCGTCAAATATAGAGTCTATCTGTTTTAATATAAATGATGTTTAAAGTTTTTGTACATAAAGTAAAAAAAAAACATAGTATCTTGATTATATAAAATATTATTAAATAAAATTAGTTTAACTAATAATATAGTATTTTTGTTATTAGTCACAAAATAAATATGATGTTAAATTTTATCTTGAATTATGAGAACATCAATTATTTTGTAACAAAGTTTTTAAAACACCAACTAAAGTGATATGAAGAAAATATTTGTTAGGATAAAGTTTGTTAACTACTTAAAATTTTCACACAAAAAAGTTTGTAAAAGAAAAAGGATAAAAAATATCTTAGTGAAGTTACCCTTTACTTTATTAGTAGGTCGACTCTGACGCAGAGACGTGGAGCCACAGCCATTCAAGGCAGAGACTGTCTCAATATTTTGAGAAATATAAACAATTTAATATAAAAACAAATATTTTATAAATTTATAAATTTATGTTTATGTAAACTGTTTCTTAGATTTAAATAGATATAATTTAGAAAACTAATGGCTTACTAGTATTTGAAATAAACATCTCTTTTTAACTTTTTGAAAATTACATTTTCTCAACTATAATAAGACAATTTAATCCAAATTTTTACTTTAAATATTCATAAATTATGTTATGGTTTTTTGTTTAGTATTTTAATGTTCTTGCGTTTTAAAGTTCTGTAACCACTAACATTAATCTACAGATCAATTTAGCTGAATCTAAAATCATACTATAAATTTTACCTATATATCTCTTGTAGAAAATGTACCGATATGTTTAAAAATAGTGAAATTTATTGATAAGTTTAAACCAAAAAATCACCAAAAATCAGATTAACCAAATCAAAATTTAGAAACAAAATTTAGAATAAAGAAATATTAAATCATAAAAGTACATCTTGTGTAAATGAAGGATAACATCTTAGGACATCCACAACAAAGAATCTTTAGGGGAAGTCCTTAGAGAAAAAAAAAATTTCGGATTATATAAAGATATTTCGATTTTTTTTTAAAAAAGAAAACAGAGCATTCATGGGCCACTACGTGTACAGTGAAACCCGTGAATAGTGTAAGGATCAATTATTAAATAAAGTTTTTAAGGATAAAATTCTTAATTGTTCATGGGATCCATTGATTGTAATATTAATATTTCTTTAAAAACTCTCCCTAAAGACCCTTGTTTTGGATGGTCTTAAGAAAGTTTGTCTCATGCTTTTTCCACTTTATTTTTTTCTCCAAAACCTGAATATCTTCCTTCTGGTTTTCAACTTTTTCAGACATTTGAAGGATAACGAAAAAATATAAGAAAGTACTATGCTCAATTCCAAAAGCTCATCTATTAGTTTTTATACTCTCTGAATATGCAAATATACAAGCGTGACTTTGAGTAGTAATCATGTATAAATACAAACCTAAAATGAAGCAAAAATGGAGAACTAGAGAATGTAGAAGATATGCTTTGTGAGCTCGAAGAAAATGGATAACGAGGAAAATGAATGTTAGCGATGTCTATTTTTCTATCATCAAACTATAAAAATATATTCTAATAAATATAATTATGATTTTAGTTAGTACAAAGATTGAAATAATTATATTGACAAAAGTAAATAATATTAAAATAATTGTAAAAACTAAAATTAGACAATTCAGTCATTTTATTTACACAAAAGTGCAGTTTTCAAAAGTTTAAATAAAGGGTTAGTTTTCAGAATAAAATCTCATATAGAGATAATTATCCAAATTTCCCTTTTAAAAATCATAGGACAAATATCTCAGTTGGCTATGCTTAAGACTTCCTTTGACTCTACGCTATCAAATCTTGCCCTTCTCATCAGGAAGTCAAGTCTTAAAAGGATTGCGTCCTTTAAATACAGAGGTGGACACAAACTTGTGGGACTCTTCAAGATATGGTTTGAAGTCATACCGGAGTAGGGTAACGCCCGTTGTTGTGTTATATGGAAAATGAGGAAATGAAGAAAATGAGGAGTGGGTTAATTCCATCGGGTGAATCTAATTACAAAAATCACTCTAGTTCGCTTTTGCTGGCGAAAACAGCTCCCCAACAGCAGTGGAACCTATCGAAAATGTAAATAAAAAAGAGTGGTTGCTACACCTTTGAAATAATCGATTTTATTTATTATTTTATTAACTTATAATATGTATGTATGCATGCATCTGTGCTTTTCTTATTGGATATTGACATTGTCCGGGTAAATCATTGGATCTAATGATCTATCATCTACTATTCTTTCTATTTCGTAAAAATTGTCATTTTGACATATTTCATGTGGATCAAGAAAATGATAAATATCCTTGTTTAATGTACAATCGAAACTAAAATGATTTAAATAAACATATATAAGTTGGTTAAAATGATAACAAGAGATTATGTATTAAAAATTGCAATGGAAATGTTGAAAGATACTTTTTCGAAACAAGAAAAAAAAAATGCTAGATGACATTTACAATAAAAAAATAGGAGGAGTATAAAACAGTTGTGCAAGTTACATGAAAATGTATTGGAGAAAAACTGGAAGAGAATCCACAAACCAAACTTTCAAATCTGGATATTACCAAGTGTAGCTTTACGCATGTTGCTTGTTAACATTAATAACAGAGTTTGTGTCTGGTAAGACACCTAACAAAAGCACGGAGAGCATGCTTAGCACGTGTCAGCACCAACCAAAAAATGGCGCTTACATTTATATCTTGTTTAAATCTACAACTAATGTAACACAAAATAGGGAACTAGCACTTACTATGTTGTTACAATGCCATTTTTGCTAAAGTAGTAAAACGCATTACCATTAGCATACGAATGTTCGCGGCACCAATTTACATGTCTTATATTTTGTTTCTTTTTCTCAAATGAAAGAGAAATGAAGACGCTTTTACCAAGAATACAAAGATGCTTATGCAATGCTCTTGAGATCTCGTAGAGGTCCATTAATTAACACGATAATATATAGTTTTTTTGGAAAAAAAACACGATAATTAATAGTTTCTTTCCCTTTTCCATAAGTATTTGCATTGTAATAGATAATTTATCTTTTTTCACACTCAATAAGCCTTTAAGGTTTTACCCTTAACAATTTTGCTACTTCTTTTTTGGTGTAACAACTTTGCTACTTCGTTCATCAGTTTCCATAAACAAGCACTTGATTTTTACATATTCTTATATCACTTAACTTTTTCATGGTCTCGAAAACCAAAGTGGAGCGGAGCATAATGAAAAAGGTATAGTGGTATTTCAAAGACGAAGATAACTTGGCAGATAAATAAAGCTGATCAAAGGATTAGGAGCACCGGATTGTTAATGGTCTGAGTGGGTATCAAAGTAAAAAAATATAGAAAATTTTGGGGCTTGAATTGGAGAAATGTGGGAAGAAGTGAAGGCTGTAATTGCAATGCTGGCGGTCCAGTTTATATTCGCAGGAATGTTCATTTTCTTTAAGATAACGGCCCATGATGGTACAAATCTCAGAATCCTAGTGGCTTATCGTCTCTCCTTCGCTACCCTTTTCATGTTTCCCCTGGCCCTCATCTTCCAAAGGTCAATTCTTTATGTGTGCAATATATTAATCATATATAATCTAATCTATGGAAAAGCCGTATTAAACCTCATATTAGGACAAGTGAAGAAAAGAAAATACATATTAGAATGACCATGTTGGAATCATGCATCCAACTATTCAGTTGACTAAGTCATTTGTTTGTGTTAAATCAATTACTCAGATGTTATTTTAATTAAACGTTTTGTTTTGGATTCCATGTGATAAGGAAGAAGCGACCACAATTTTCATGGAAACTGGTCTCACTAGCATTTCTTTCGGGGTTGCTCGGGTACTCAGAACTAGAGCACACATGAAATTATTGTCACTTGGCGATCATAAAATATAATTTATATACACGAAATTTTAATAGAATATTATGTAATTCATTTTGACTACTTTACAGAGCGGCTATACCAAATATTCTCTATTTGCCGGGCCTGGTTCGTACATCAGCTACATTTTCGACTGCAGCCAGTATCCTTAGTCCGGTGATCACCTTGTTATTGTCATTGGCATTTAGGTAAGGCACATTGAACGCTATATCATACCTTTGTGAAAGAATATGATCTATTCATTGGTTGTATGAAATTATACATATGTTATATACAGAGTTGATTTATGGTTGTATGAAGATATGTGTTTCTCAAATTTTCTGTAAAATCAGTAGTTCTGTGTTTCACATAATTTTAGATTTCGGGTACCACAAACTTAAAAAGTCAATAACTAGAGTAGATACGTCCTGCATGTTAATCTTTGAAATGTATTTCTTTCGTCATTTTATAAATCATTCGATGATCAAACATACCCCCGTGATACTAATTAATATGTATAAGTTTACCAGAGCATTTTCATCTGTACAGAACTCAATTTCTCACAAATTTTATATTAGTAATTTAATAGAATTTTTATATACTTATTTTTGAAAAGGTTAAACTGCTTATTAATTTGAAACTGAAGGAATTTAAGGGTTAGTTCTTTTTTTTTGTCAACAATCAAGGGTTAGTTCATTTGCAAACTTTCCCCACTGTTTTTTTTTTGTTAGAACGTCCTGCTGATGAGACATTGCAAGCTAATAAATATTTCCATTCTGATATAACAGGATGGATACTCTACGGCTGGGATCAAACGAAGGGAGGGCTAAGCTTCTGGGGACGCTTCTTGGTGTCGGCGGGGCACTCGTCTTTGTGTTATATAAGGGTTTTGAGCTTCATATTTGGTCAACACATGTTGACTTACTTAAAAGCTCGAATGCTGGTCAATCTTCTGGTCGAGCCACGGAGAACCACCACCACATCTCAATATCAGGGGTTCTTATGGTTTTTGGCTGTAACGTCTCCGTCTCACTTTGGTTACTATTGCAGGCAAGTGCTACATTTTTTTCGTCGAACATTACTTTAAGATAATTATAATATTTTTTTTTGTTCAAAGATAATTATAATATATACGGTATTTTATGTATGCGTGAGTTCCAAATCTGAAGAAAAATTGATCATATTACAGATAAATCTACAAGACTACAACTAAACATATATTCCTTGTGAAGTACACACAAAAACATTTTTATGTACCCATATCGTCATATATAAATGAATGCTTAATTAATATGTATAATTGAGTTAAGATGATAACGAAAAATCTAACAATCCAATTTCAAGAAATGTAAAATTGATTCATGTTTCGGGCTTTGATAAGATGTTTCAAAAACGTAAAATGTGTTCTGGTACAGGCAAAAATAGGCAAAGAACTTGGAGGACATTTATGGAACATAAGTTTGATGAATGCGACGGGAAGCTTGGTGTGTATGGCTGTTGCTCTCTGTTCAGAACATAACTGGAAGCAATGGAGATTAGGATGGAACATTAGCCTTCTTACTACCGTTTATTCGGTAAAAGAAAACATCTACCTATAATGATTAAGGATTACTTAGACATGCATCTAAAAGCATATATATAATATGTGTGTTTGACACACGTATTTATTTGTCTTATCCACAACGTGTAGGGAGTCGTGGTTTCAGGGCTGGTCATGCCTCTTATTGCTTGGTGCATTGAAAAAAGAGGACCGTTATATGTTACAGTGTTCAGCCCCATAAGGCTGGTGATCGTTGCCCTAGTCGGATCATTTGCTTTAGAGGAAACGCTTTATTTGGGAAGGTACACCAAACTCATGATCTTGTGTATGGTGTATGTAATATGTGAATTTTAATTAATTCTCTACTAATTTTGCAAAACTTACAGTATAATTGGTGCGATAATAATGGTGGGAGGAGTATACCTAGTGGTGTGGTGTAAAATGAAGGAAAAGAAGAGTGTCTCTACGACATCGAACCACGTTGAAACAAATGCTAATATCAAAGAAGTGAACCTTGGCAACAGTAAATAATAAATATGTCCGTAAATTAACCATATAGCTGCATCCTCACATAAAGTCTATCGTAGAAATAGAATATATGTATGTATGTATATATGAGAGTTAAAATCCATATGATTTGTGTTTAGCCTTAAATTTTATAGTATGGACTACTAGATGGAGAATTTGGACAATGTCTTTCATTTTCAGCATAAATTGTAATTTTATAACTCCTTCATACTAGAGATGAGAGCTTTAATTAATATATCGTTGAATGGTCTAAGTAAAAGCCACACATCCTCAGCTGATATAGTCTCTCTTTTAGTGAACATTAGTATGTTCTTCATGGTGTGGGTGTGTCTATTGTTCGTAGCCAGGTTGATTGAACGTGTAACTATTAGTTTAACTAAAAAGAGAGTAGATAAATTTGCTGTAAAATATTTCAAAGGGATAACGTGTATTGTGTACATGAGAGAATGTTTACCGAAAAATCTAGGAGAGAATCCTGACACGTGTACATGAATTAGCGGTCAAGCCTGGCAACGGGGACATTTCTATATATATACCCACACAAATAAGAGAGCAGGAAAAAAAAAGAGAGAGAAGAGAACGATGAAGACGCAAGTGACTATAGTAGCGGCTCTTATGATTCTGGTGGCTTTGTCTTCCACCTTGGATATGGTGACGGTAACGGTGGCTCAAGTAAACTGCATCGACAGTTGCACCACCGGCTGCGTCAAGCCCACCCGTGAGTACTCTCTTCTTTAGTCTCCCATATCATCCATTTACGTAAATCTCTTTTAATAACTTATATTTCCAGCAAAAGAGACGATCCGATGCCACCGTGAATGCGACAAAAAGTGCAGCCGAGGTAAAGTATACTGTATAAGTATAACTACTCTCTAGAAGAATAATGAAACCGGATCGGTCCGTTATACCTCTTTCATCCCTAACCGGGTGGTTAAGGTTGGAGGATACGGTCTAATCTACCATGTAACCAATCAGTATTATCTGTCCATGAAGCTAATTAATATCGTGTTTTTGTTTTGCAACTGAATGACCAAAGGGGACTCGGACCTGACATTGATGTACTTTTTTTAATTACAGGTGGTAAAGGAGGAAGTGAGACTGGTGCTTAAACTTTGTATCAATGAGATCCATGAAGATACAATTATGTTGTAATCTTATCTTTATAATCGTATCTCTAAAACGTACTATGCATACTGTAACCAATAAATCAAGTGGTTGTAGTTCATTGTTGAGTTAAAAGGGTAAAGGATTTCCCCTATGCGTCAAATCCTCCCACCAACTGTGGACCTCCTTGTTGGCTTTCTATATAGTCTATGTAAACTCTTTAAAAAGGAAGATTATTCGGTTTTCTACATGCTTATGGGATCAATCTAAAATTTAACATATAACCTAGCTCGGGTTTTAAAACATAAAAAAAATAACAACTACAATGTTTGACTGAAGCTAGTTCTTAGTTGTATTAACTTTCATATGTATATATAAATATGTCTTGCGAAGACCTAAAAGTGTTTTACATGTATAATCAAGACTTCAATCTTTGTAATAGTAAGGCTCGGGGTCCATTTTCAAATTTACAATATTACTCCAACAAATAGACCTAAACATGTTTTATATCTGTTATCAAGACTTCTGCGATCAAATCAAGCAGACCTTGGGGTACATTTGGCTGGGTAGATTTAACATTTCGACCAACAAAATATATTAGAATGGGTAGATGGCTAGCGCTAAGTAAGTTAAGGCGAGAGAATGAGTTCACTACACTAAAAATAAACTTATACTACTAAACAAATTTGGGTTTTGGAGTCTAACACAATGTCTTAAATGGTAATCCAAATCGAACAAGTTTGGCCCATGAAATACTAGTTCAAGTCAATATCATGGGTAAACCAGTTTATATAACTCTAGAGGAGAGTGAATAATGCCATTTCCAAAACACCCTAATATATAGTTTTTGATATATAGACTAAACAATACCAACTCTAACAAATATTTATTTATATCCTTTTATTTTCAGACTAAGATACTTTTATTTTATTTTCAACTAAGATATTATTATGTGGAGAACTAATTAAATCAACAATGATTTGTTTTCAGTGATAAGACTCCAAGTTCAACGGTGTTTAAATCTCTTTGATTAACACAATTTGATTAAAAAGTTTTTATAAACAAAAATTAAAAGATGTAAAAAGTCAACATTGTGGTTGGGTCTTTGCTTGATGCAAGGCGTAGGTCATGCGGCCTTGTGGACAATAATGCTTCAAAATGTCCACTTATTACAATTTCATTCTCTTTTTCTCTCTCTCACTTAAAGAATTACAAATATTAAAAAAAAAATCATCATATAAATTCGATAATAAAATCCAGAGAAGAAGCATTTGAGAGTATAATCCAATTAAAAGTTAAAAACTTTTTTTATTCTTTAATTATTTTCTTGCTGTCTCGTGAGAACTACTATTAAAGAAAAATCAAGAAAAGCTCCTGAGTACTGGAAAAAAGTAGAAGAAGACTTTATCTTTTTGTGGTGTTATTGTTGTTTCATTGACTTTATGAGTTCTTTTGTTATAGATTTAAGCTCCCACGGATCTGCTTAAATCCTTGTGATCTTGTTTTCTTGTTTCTCTCTGTTTTTATCCGTAATCTCCGGAACCAGACCCCAGTTTCTGTTCTACTTTTGCTGAGCTTCTTGATTTGGTCGGAGAAGCTTTAACAAGGTTTTTGGTGGATTTGTCTTTCTGGGTTGTCTGAAAGGTTCATCCTTTACCCTTCTCCTTCTGTCTTTTTGTGTTATCACAGGTTCTTTGGTATTGAGTTTCTTGTAACAGTTTCATCTTAAAATCTTGACTTTATAGGAAGTAAATCAGATGAGTTTTTTGTATAGTTTCCAGATTCAGTGATGACGTTTCATATCCTTGATTTATTTGTGTTACATATGAATCAGTTTTATGTGATCTAGATTTAGCATTTGGTGAATTGATTGATGTCAGATTCTCTTTGATTTAACTATTATTTGTCATAAAAGAAAAAGGTTCATGGTTGATTAAAAGCTAGCTATGTTTAGTTTCTTTATTGGGCATGCGATGTTTAAACTTTTCTTTACAGTCTTCTTTCTCTTTTGGCTCTTTTTTTTTACTTTTGATTTCTTACTTATTAAGGACGTGACTCAGATTTGCAAGGCTTTATTTTTTTCTTATCTACAGCCAGTGGAATCTCTCTTTGTTGGTTGTCAAGAAAAGAGTTGATTTTGTTTGAGCAACAAAGAGAAATGTCTTTTAGGAGCATTGTTCAAGATTTGAGAGATGGGATTGGGAGTTTGTCAAGGAGGAGTTTTGATTTTAGGCTTCATCACAAAGGGAAGTCTCAGGGCTCTTCGTTCCGTGAGTACTCGTCTTCACTTGACCTCTCACCTTTGATAGTTCAGACAAGCAGATGGGCTAATCTTCCTCCTGAGCTACTCTTGGATGTCATCAAAAGGTTGGAAGAGAGTGAGAGTACTTGGCCTGCAAGAAAACATGTTGTGGCTTGTGCTTCTGTGTGCCGGTCTTGGAGAGCTATGTGCCAAGAGATTGTCCTTTGTCCTGAAATCTCTGGGAAGCTCACTTTTCCTGTTTCACTCAAACAGGTTCGCTTTTTTTTTTGTGTCGTGTAAACATGATTCTTGTTTTAAGTTCAAACAACTAATGAAATAAGTTTATGTTTTACTGTTGTTGATTGTTTTCAGCCAGGACCTCGTGATGCGATGATTCAGTGTTTTATCAAACGAGATAAATCAAAGCTAACGTTTCATCTTTTTCTTTGTTTAAGTCCTGGTAAGCTTTCTTGTTAGGACATAACTGCTTGTGTTTGGGATTCACATAAACACACAAGTTAAACTATGTTTTTTTTTTTTTTGGTTTCAGCTCTGATTGTGGAGAATGGGAAGTTTCTTCTTTCAGCTAAAAGAACTCGTAGAACTACTCGAACCGAGTATATTATCTCCATGGATGCTGAAAACATCTCAAGATCTAGTAACTCTTACCTCGGAAAGCTCAGGTTCTGTCTGAATCCTTGTGGTCTTAGTGTATTTCTCATTCATATGTTCGCTTATTAAGTTTCTTTCTTGCTTTCTTTTTCAGATCAAACTTTCTTGGGACGAAGTTCTTAGTGTACGATACACAACCACCACCAAACACATCTTCTTCCTCTTCTTCATCTTCCTCTAGTGCACTCATCACTGACCGAACAAGCAGAAGCAGGTTTCACTCAAGGAGAGTCTCTCCCAAAGTCCCATCAGGAAGCTACAACATTGCTCAAATCACCTACGAGCTCAACGTGCTAGGCACACGAGGGCCAAGGAGAATGCACTGCATCATGAACTCCATCCCAACTTCATCTCTAGAACCAGGAGGCTCGGTTCCAAACCAACCAGAGAAGCTCCTCCCACCTCCACCACGCTCCTTTGACGACTCATTCCGCAGCAACATCTCATTCTCCAAGTCATCATTCGACCACCGCTCCGTGGACTTCAGCAGCTCTAGGTTCTCGGAGTTGGGAGTGTCCTGCGAGGAGGACCAAGAGGAGACGAGTTTCAAACCGTTGGTTTTGAAGAACAAGCAGCCTAGGTGGCACGAGCAGTTGCAATGCTGGTGTCTGAATTTCCGTGGACGTGTGACGGTTGCTTCTGTTAAGAACTTCCAGCTTGTGGCCGTGAGACAGCCACTGCCGCCGACGCAAGTGGCAGGTGGCGGCTCAGCACCACCGGCTCCTCCGGAGCAAGACAAAGTGATTCTTCAGTTTGGTAAAGTGGGGAAAGATATGTTCACAATGGATTATAGGTATCCATTGTCAGCGTTTCAAGCGTTTGCTATCTGCTTAAGCAGCTTTGACACCAAGCTTGCTTGTGAATAAAGAAGAAAACTCTCATCATCTCCTCCTCCTAAACATTCATGCTAATCTTCATGTCTCTTTTGTTCAGTCCTTTTGGTGTTCTTTTGGACAAATCATTTGTCTCAATACTCAGTTGTTACTGTGGTGAGAACCAGACGTGTACTATTATTATTATTAACCTCTTCTCTATTCTAAATCATTTGAAAACATTTAATGCAGCACAGAATGAGAATCATTATTAGTAGAGAAGAATATGATTTGAAAAGTTTTAGCTCATTGAACATAAATGAGCCAAATATGTTGTATCTTCTTTCCTTTGTTCTTCACTCTTCCAAAAGTTGTAATTGTCTCTTTGAATTCTATTACCAGTGAGATTCACAGAGCAATCTATGTCTTCAATGACAATAGTGGACCTGCTGAATGTTGTTGTGAGCAGTTTCTTTCAGATCTGAGTTGTTATTTACAGACGTGAGCTCGAGGTCATAGATACTGTAGTTCAAAAGATTAGCCATGGTTGTTATCAAGGTGGGCTTACCGGTCCCTGGTGGTCCCCATCTAGAAGGTAACCCCTCTTCCAAGCTTTCCCAATCTTCTTCTTTATATAATATAATTTAGGGTTTGGTTTTCATATATATTTAGAGCATCTCCATCCTCCAATTTCGTTCTATTTTTTACACTATAATATAGTAAAAAATAGGTTTACACACTATATATATATATCTATAATATTAATTTATTATTATTTAGTCACTCTATATTTTCATTTTAAAATAAAGTATTATCAGAATAATAATTAACTTTATTATAAAATTATTTTATTTTGAAGAAAAAAATAGAGTCTTACATATCATGATAACTGCCCTACTTTCCAAGCAAAGCTATACTAGAAGTAGGCATGGGCATTCGGGGTCCCATTCGGGTTTCAGTTTTATCCAATCAGGTCTCGGTTTTTTGGGTTTATCAAAATCAGTCCCATTCGGATTATTCGAAAGTTCGGTTCGGATTCTATCGGATTCGGGTCGGGGTTAGTAAATCTTTAAAGAACCGGTACAACCCATTATACTTTCGGATTCGGGTCCCAATCGGTTCTTTGGTTTAAAAATACTTGATTTGTACCTACTTTGTAACCAAAACATAAGTAAAATCGGTTCTTCAGATTTAAAATACCTAATGTGTAACTATTTTGTAACCAAAACATAAGTAAAATTGATTCAAAAAAATCAGAAAGAAACATCAAACTTGATCATTCAAAATCAACTGAAAGGTAAACATAGTTATTAATAGAAAGAAAACCAAATAAATGAAAGCGTAAACGAAAATCAAGTTCTTAAAAAATGAGAAACATTATTCAATAATAACAAAACATTAACTAAAAATTTCAAGTTTAAACCGCCACCTTCAACCATCAACCTTCTTGTAATAGATAATTATTTTATATGTTTAGTAATATCTTAAAATATTTTGGATATATATTAGGAATTAAGATCATGTTCAGTACACGTTCTTATTAAAAATTTTGAATGTTTCGGGTTCTATCGAATATCCATTTAATTTCGGGTTCGGTTCGGATAATACCCATAATCCGAAATACCATAAAACAAGATCCATTCGGTATTTAAATCGGATTCGAATCGGTTCGGATTCATTTTTATCGTATCGGGTTCGGTTCGGGTTTTCGGATTCGGTTTATTTGCCCAGCCCTAACTAGAAGGTGGAATTCTTTTGTGTATGTGTGTGTGTGTGTGTTTTTGTGCTCTCCGTTGGTTTTTTTTTTTGGAGAAATTTGTGCTCTCCGTTGTTGCTATTTCGAAACGAAGTTCTCTAGTAACCGCGTCAAAGTTTATATACAGTAAGATCTTACGGTTTAACCAAAACAAATCAAGGAAATTTGTCGATCAATCTTGATCAAATTTTAGAAATCATAAATGCGTTTCTCCACCCCCGCTTGTCGTTCCTTTGTTCATTCCATGTGTTTTCTCTATCTTTTCACTTTTGTTCTGCCCCACTAAACTTATCTTGAAAGCGAGGCTGTGTTATTGAGTTATTTACATTTTCAAATTTTTGTTAAACAAATTATCCAGAATTTTTGAAGGAACAGTCCCAAAAATGACACGTGACCCTTTAGAGTATCATAATCCAAGATGGTGACTACGCATAGAGTTCCGGTGCCAGTTTTGATTGATTTTACATACGTCGAAACCTTTGTCAAGTTGCAAAGCATGTACCCTTTTTTTTGCCGCCAACCTTGTTCTTTAGTTCGTTATTGCTTTGATAGTTGATAAAGTCTTATTAGATAATTTTCTATTTCGTATAACCACTAAGTTCCGTGTATTTTCGTTCTATTTGGGACTGATCCATAAGTCTAAAGTAAGCCATCCATTATTAAATCTAGCACATACTCGATTTGGATCCAGTATCAATAATTCAATATAACATACCCTTTTCAAATAAATTGTGGTTGTTTTTCCTAACTATTTTCACTGGAACACCACCGTAGTGGAAAGTTTTTATTTTGAAAAAGTTTGGTTTCTTAAATCCTAGGAATTAATGTACCTTTCTTCAAAATATTCTACACTATTATTTCCGCTCACGAATTTGAATTTATTTACCAAAATTAAAATTAATAAGCAAAAAAGAATCAAAAACTATTTTAAGAATTAGTATCAGACTATCAGTACGTACTAAACTTATAATGTTTTCTTACCCTTAATATTCCTATAGCAAAAGTAGATGAGTATATGTGCTCTCTGACCATCTAATGATGCAATATAAAACCAGAGAGGGGAAAAGAACAATATTCACGGCTAAAGTTATAGACTACTTACATAGTTACATGTAGTTGTCCTGCCTTGAGTCTTGACAATTTTTTCTTTGATCAAAGAGTCTTGACAATTAAGAATTCTGAAATATGTATAGAGAAATATGTGAATTAAATTATTATATTGGAAACACACAGAAAATACATTTTTCCAAATGCGCCAGGCCAACACTGCAATTATCTTTTTTTTCTTTTCTTTTTTTTTGTAACACACTGCAGTGATCTAGTGGTTGAATAATCAATGATTTTAATTATCTAATTAAAGGTTTAACTTAGGTGCATAAAAGAAAGGAACAAATAATACATAAACGAAAAGTAGAACATAATCCAATAACACGAGTCTATAAATTATCTCACAACCACTAAATTCACTCTCACTTCTATCAAAAGCCTCTTGGCACTTTGGTCGTTTTAGTCTCTCTATCTCATTTCTCTCGCTCTCTCTAAATCATACAAAGCTTATGAAACAAATAATGTCAGATATAATGAAGAAGAAGTGTAATGAAAATGAAGAGGGTGCAGAGCAGAGAAAAGGGCCTTGGACGCTTGAGGAAGACACGCTTCTCACCGATTACATTGCACGTAACGGTGAAGGTCGATGGAATCTGCTCGCTAAAGCTTCTGGTAATATTCCTTTTCTTTTTTTTCCCAACAAATTAAATACAATACCTACACTTGATGTGTTCATGACACTTTAGCACATGAGGATAAGTGGTCTAGAAACTAGAATTAATAATTAAATACTGCCACTTCATATTATGATCAGTTTCCATTAAAGATTGATCTCTGTCTTATACCTTAATCAATAAAAATAACAGGACTAAAGAGAAAAGGAAAAAGTTGCAGATTACGATGGTTGAATTACCTTAAACCCGACATAAAGCGGGGGAATCTCACTCCTCAGGAACAGCTCTTAATCCTCGAACTTCATTGTAAATGGGGTAATAGGTATGTTACTCTACTTTGTTCATTTTCTTTCTTGAGCTTCTTAAATTAATTTGTATTATCTCCTTTTATTTTAGGGGAAACTGTTTTTTAGACCAAATAGGTTTGGATATTGTCCCTTTAGGCTAAATTATATTTTGTACCAATTTTGACTTTAATGCCCTTTATGTATTTTCGAAATTATTAAAAAAAATAGATTTATGAAGCAAATTTTTTTAAAAAAATAGTACATAATGATGAAATCTCTAGATCTATATAGTGATAATTTTTTCTTGTTTTAAAAATATGTAAAAAATAATTTCATATATCTATTCTACCGAAATTAGAATATGTATTCTACGGATTGGAATACGGAATCTACTTTTTTTACTATTTCTACGAATTGCAGAATATGTTTTCTACGGAGATAACATGAATCTAAAATAGTTTGGACTACACATTCCACGCTTATCATATAGTTCTAAAAAGAATAGAAGTTGAAATCTAAATTCGTACTTAAATCTAAGACAAGTAGAAGTCAGAATCTAAATTCGCACAACGTTCTAATACACGTAGAAACTGATTTCATATCTTTTTACACAGTTCTACGTTTAGTAGAAACTGAATTCTACGGATAAATATTATTAGATCCGAAAATATAGCAAGAATATCTTAGAGAATATTCTGTTACCATATTTAAAACTCCATTTTTTTTTAAAAAAAAAGGAAAATTCGACTTTTTTTTTTTAAAAAAAAGGAAAATCGATTTTTTTAAAAAAGAGGAAAATTCAATTTAAAAAAAAAAGGAAAATTCAAAAGCAAAAACTTTATTAAAAGGAAATTCGATTAAAAAAAGAGGAAAATTCGATTTTTTTGCAAATATTCAGTTTCCATATTTATAAAATCGATTTTAAAAAAATAATAAAAGAAAAAACCGTTTTCAAATATGGGGTTTTTTATTTTTTATTTTATTTTCAATTATAATTTTTTTATTAAATCAAAAATATCTTATTTTATTTTTTTAAGTTTTAATTTTTTTTTAATTTCGAATATACTTTTTGATCAAATCGAAAATATATTGTTTTTTTTATCTTTTTATTTTTTTTAATTTCTAATACAATTTTTAATTAAAATTATAATTTTATTATTATTTTCTAATTATAATTACAAATTATTAAATTGTTCTAAGGGTATTATTGCCATTTAGGAAAAAATTAACTTAATGGGACAATAACTAAATGGGATTAGATTAAAGGGACAACTTCCTAATAGTTTTGGTTTAAAAAAACTATTTTCTCTTTATTTTATATGATGATTTGGTTAAAAGTTATGAAGATTAGAAAATAACAAAATGTCCTTTACTTTTTTTCCCCTTGAAAACATATTTTACTGATTTACTCTTATACGAAAAAAACAAAATTAGCCACTAATTCAGGACAATTTATAATACAAATGATCATAAAAGGTAAAATAAACTTAACCTTTGCCGCTTTGCGTAACTTTTTCTCATAATTAAAAAAATATGCAGAAATATAATGTAAACATGTTGTTTGCAGGTGGTCCAAAATTGCGCAATATTTACCCGGAAGAACAGACAATGAGATTAAAAACTATTGGAGAACTAGAGTGCAGAAACAAGCACGCCAGCTCAATATTGATTCTAGCAGCCACCAGTTCCTGGAAGTTGTCCGTAGCTTCTGGGTTCCAAGATTGACCCACAAGATGAAAGATAGCTCAAACACCAATACTAAGTCTCTTCCTATGGATTCACTTGGACCCATCTTGCAAGACAGTAAATTCTCACATGATTTGGGTTTCAACAACATAGATTGTTCCACTTTCGTGTCTCAGGATCTGACGAAAATTTCACAATTCATGGATTTGTCTGATCTTGAAATCCCCAGTTCAATGCACCTGGAGGAATCAAGGGGGAGTGTCATTCAATATGTGAATGAAGATTATAGATCTTTTCCTTGCCTAGAGGATGAGCACATAGTGACCACCATGGGCAATTTAGAAATTCTACCATTCCAAGATTGTCAAGTAGGAGTGTCGACTTACCAGGAGGATGTGACACAAGATCCAATGTGGAACATGGATGATATTTGGCAGTTTGGGGAGTACGCACCTCTTAATTAGGTTGTGGAAACCATTGAAATTGATGTTCATATGGGCATCTACTGTTGGAGTGTCTCAACCAGAGTCTCATGAAAAAATAGTAATTTTAATTAGAGAATTTCTCAAAAGTTTCAGAGTCATTTGAGAAACTTTTACATGAGTTTATTGAGATTTTGAGAGATTCTCTAATTCTAATTTTTTGTAAGAAAATATTTTTTTTGTAAGAGACTAATGGTAAGAGACCATTGATGCAGATTGTATAGAGCATCCCTATTGAATGTACAAGAGGGATTCATGAGGAATGCTCTCACACTTTAAAAAAAAAACATTATTATAATGTCCCCATGATAAACTCGTCTCACCTGAACTCTTCCAGATAAACCTGTATCAATACTGTTTCGTGGGTCATATGCCATATGGCACCCTGCGATTGATCCGTTAATTTTTTTTAAAGTAAACAAAAAAAATAAAAATTAATTTTTTTTTTCTGTGAACCTCCCTCCCATAGCTTCATTAATGGAGGTGCTCTTACAACCTCAAAGGAGATTTTGAGTATTGTATCCTCTCTTTTTTCTGCTTGCTATAGTTTATAGATAAATCTTGATTAATTGATGCAAAGCTCAAAAAGAGCCAATGAAAAACTGTTAAGTACATTTATTTTCTATAGTGTTTTACGTACGTGGAAGAATGGGGTCGAGTAATCTAATATTGACTAACGATGAGGATGTGAAAACTGATAGAAATAGACTAGTTCTCGTCTTTGAATATCAAACTGTTGTCATTTTCGTTAGTTTTTAGATCTTATGAAGGAGAACAAATCTAATATCACCTATACATGTGAAATATTTCAAAATCTATGATTTATTTACACACATTAATGTTAAATCAAAGAAAATGATGCTGAGATAGTGAAAGTTCTAGACAATAATTGATGAATTTTTTCTTCGAAATTAGACGTGTGCATGTAAGTTAAGTCGACGGTACGTTTGACATTATATGATTACTTTGTTTTTACAGAATTATAGGATAGGATCATTTATGTGCTATGATAGTTTTTAACTCAACATTTTTTCAAGAAACATATGAATCGAGGATTCGGAACCATGTAACTGCTACATTATAGATTCGAACCATATACATTAGCAACATAATTAATCATTACTTATATTTTCTCCTAATCTTCTGTATGCCTTGACCAAAAACTATAGACCTCCTGTAATACATACAGATTTATTTTTCATATACAACAAATATGGGAATATGGTTTAGATTGCATCTCGTTCGATTTGATATGATACATGTAAGTCAAAAAAAAAAAATTTACATGTAAGTCCATTGCATTTAGCCATTTGCATAATTATATTAAGAGGGACTTGGTCTGTCTCCACATGAGATGCACATAGTCCCTCACGAGCTTCGAATTAGTGGAGAAAGGTAATTTTTATTTTTAGTAATGAAGTGAATACCCTTGAATTACTTGGAGGTAATTAGTTCCTCTTCATTACGTCCAAATAAGAAAAAGAAAACTAGTTTTTCATCCAAATAAGATTTTGGAAAAATAGTTTTTGTAATAACTATCTAATCCTAAAAAAAATATTTGAAATATTTGACATTGGTTTTATATTTTGTATTTATCTTATTTTAATAGGTTTTCTTTTTTTCTTGGTCAAACAAGAAATGCATTACTCTCAGGGAGCTTAGTCTCCATTAATAGAGTTCATTACAGACATAGCTAAAGCTGATTTCACCACTGAATCAGCTGCAGCATTGAAGTTTCTAGATATAAAATGAAAGGAAATTACATCAAAGAGAGGGAGATAATGATAGATATCAAACATGATACCGAATAGTTTAGGTTGGGTCTCTTTCATCTTCAAAAGCTTGATGAGAGATAGGGAATTAGATAGAACCACTAGGGATCGGACGTTTGAAAACACGGCAAGAGATACCGCACGGTGAATAGCAATGGCTTCTGCCATAAGAGCTGACAAAACATGGATATGAGCTTCGGAGAGAACCGGGAGATTCCGAGCATTTTCACCAGTGATCTTATTTTAATAGGTTTTCATATAATAACAAATGCTCTCATATTTTTCTGTGTTCACTCTCCTTCTTAGAAATAAATCTATTAACAAACTTGTATATCAAAATCATATACGTATTAGAAAGATAATAGAAATTAATTTACATATAATTCACCAATCATTTGTGTTCACTGAGAAGAACATCAACAATTAATTAAAATATAATTAGACTTGTCAATAAAAATAAATTAACTAAAATTTATAATAAAATTTTTTAAGAACTTGTCAATAAAATTAACTTAATTTTTTAAATTATTATTAAAATTACATATTTTATTATTAACTTATTTGATATTTTATTCAAAATTGTGGTATATTCTTTTAGTAATTATTAGTATCTTAAGAAATTATAAGTCAAGGTCTTAAAAATAGTAGAAATATAAATAAGAAATTTTCAAATATTAAAATATAAAATTAAAAACAGCTAGAATAAAAAAACAAAAATCTAAATCACCATTCATGTTTTTAATAATTTAAAAGCTACTGCAAAATAAAAATATCATAAAACATGTAAAAGCCAACAAAACAAAAACCAAAAGCTAAAAATTATATAAACAATCAACATGTTAACATAAATGTGTTATTAAATTTTTTTATCATAAACCAAAAACTAAAACTATAAATTATAATCATCATTTGTGTTTTTCCAAAAACTAAAATCTACTGCAAAATCAAAAACCAAATTAAAAACTACAATCTGAAAACTAAAAATGTAAAAGTCAAAAACTAAAAACTAAAAACTAAAATTTAAAAACCATCCAAACAATCATCACCTATATTTTTGGAGGTCAGTTCATGGAAACTATAGAATGATTTGGACTCAAAAGGCATTTTTAAAGTTGTAATAAACTTTTAAATCATTTTTTCGAGGTCCGGAAGGCAAGAGTACATACATTTATTTCATTACTTTTGAGTCTTTGACAGAGTTGAAAGTTTGTGCATGCTTTGTCTTTTCTCACCTCCAATAATTCAGGTTTTGTATGGATCACATTTCTATAAGATTTTTTTTGACACATCCAATTTCTATAAGGTAAATAGAAAATAAAATTTTACATATGTGTGTGTGCGTGTATTATGCAAACTGTCTTAACCTGTGCAAATGGACTTATTCGTGCCGCTCCAAGCCATATTTATATGTCAAGTCGTCATTTATCAGTTTGTTTTGGATATATTGCTATTACTCGGAACCATTCATGATTCATGTACATGGAGCAGTGGGGCGTTTTGTAATTATATATATTAAAAAAAAAATATTACCAATATTTTTTTTTTTTTCAGTGTTTCAAAAGGTTTATATGTAATAGCCAGATGAAGCGCAGTTTCGCCGATAGTTTCTAGACTTTACACTCACTAAAATAAAGATGTAACCAGATCTCATATTCGCATGGTATGAAACAGCTACTTATATTTCTGTCTTCGACTAACTTGGCAAAACAACTTTACTATAAACACTTCTACACAAGCAGGGGCGGACCTAGGTGGTTAGGGGATGTAGCAAGTGCCCCATACAGATTTTTGTTATTTCTTAAGTATTTTACCTAAAATTTATATATATAGTTTTAGACTACATTTTTGTTACACTAGTGCTCCACACTAGATAAATCTCTGCATCCGCCCCTGTACACAAGCCTCGTTTTGTTTATGACTTATCTTCTATAGCATAATAGCATTACACGAAAATACAAAAAAAAACGTGTTATAAAAACTTCTCTAGATACTTAGATAGCCATCGTAAAATTTGGCATCATTCTTTCCCTTATATCATCATCTTCACCCATTTTAGTCTACTAAAATTCATTAACGTGTATTCCGGGGAATCCAACAAAAAAGGGAAATTGGAGAAACATTGGCCATATAAACTGTTAGATGGTCAAAGTTGTTCAAGGATGATGTTGTTATAAAGTCGTATTTATTTGTAGGAATATTAATCAGTCAAACTTAGTGACCAACGAAAAATGTTGTCACTTGCCACTATCAACATAAGAATCACCTTAATTAGTAATTTCTAAGATGTACGTAGTTCATGCAACAGTGATTTTCTGGCATCGGTTAACTCAATGAGACCTCTAGTATAAATAAACCCATAACCACGGAACCTCAGACTTTCATATCGTCTACCTATATTTTGACATATTCGGACGAACACATGCTTCTTACTCTATATATTTTTTCATATAACTTCATTTTTACCATATTAACATAGAAAAATCATAAGCCATTTTACAAAAAAAAACATAGAAAATTACATATTTCAATAAACTAATGTGTAAAATGAATTTATTATTAAGTAGACTTTTATATATGTCGGTCCCATTGAAATATTTCGAGACCAAATAATAAAGCCGACTCTGAAAATTCGTTGCTGTCGTTAGATTTTTCCCAGCTAATTAATTAATTAAAATTAGTTTACTAAATCAAGTACATAAACATGTTTATGCGATTTTATATAGTTTATATTACTGTTAAAGTACTGTTTTATTATATAACTAGGTGTTTTGCCCGCACTTGCGGGCTTAATAATTTTACTAATATCTATAAATAAATATATAATCAATTTATGTAAATTATAATAAATTATTGTTCATAGACTCAAAATATTTAATAATAAAATAAAGAAATTCTTTCTATATATAAAATTTTTCATCATCATATAAATAATTTTCATTACACAACTTATATTTGAAAATACTCATAAACTTAAAACATATAGTAATAAATTAATATCATTTTTAGACATAACAAAAAAGTATAAAAAATTATCTTTAATAATGTTTTGGATAACACAATATAAATTATCTATACATAAAGTCTTTGCGAACTGATTTTTCATAATTAACTATATATTAACAAATAGAATTATTTTCAACGTTAATAAAGACTTTATAACACAATATAAAAAAGTTAGATAAAGATAATTATCAAATTCATGAGATTCATTTTTTAATTTAGAATTAATTATATGTTAACGAATATAATTATTTTTCAAGGTTGATAAAGACTTTATCACATAATATAAAAAAAATTAAAATAAGGATAATTATCAAATAAATAAAATTCGTTTTTAATTTATAATTAATTATATATTAACTAATATAATTATTTTTAAGGTTAATAAAGACTTTATAACCCAATATAAAATAGTTTTAGATAAAGATAAATCTAAAATCCTTGAAATTCGTTTTTTATTTATGTTTAATTATATTAAAAATTTAATTATTCATTAAGGATATAAACAATATTAACCGCTTTAACTTTCAACGTGAGAGCTCTGTTGCAAAAAACCATTCACAAATAATAGTATAGATTACCTAAATCACAGAAAGTTACAACTTAATCAGCAAATTCACTTAGATTTTATAATTGAAAATATATTTTTAAGATAACAAGCTAATATAAAAGAATTAATATATTTTCTAAAAATAAAATATTATTAACATAAATTATTTTTTTATTTTATAATAAATTATTAAAACATGAAAATAAGTAAAATAACCTAAAATCATGGAGAAGTTGACAACTAAGAAAAATTACTTCTAAAATAATAATTGAAAAATATATTTTTAAGATAACAATCTAATACAAAAGAATTAACATATTTTCTAAAAATATAATATAATTAACATAAATTCGTTTTTATTATATAATAAATTATTTAAACATGAAAATAAGTAAAATAACCTAAAATCATGGAAAAGTTGACAACTAAGCAAATTTACTTTTTCTAAAAATAAAATATTATTAACATAAATTCTTTTTTTATTTTATAATAAATTATTAAAACATGAAAATAAGTAAAATAACCTAAAATCATGTAGAAGTTGACAACTAAGAAAAATTACTTCTAAAATAATAATTGAAAAATATATTTTTAAGATAACAATCTAATACAAA